GTAACTTTACCCAGGTAAGAAGAGGTGCTGTAAATAATAGATGAACCACTGTATTGAACGCTTTTACAAAACAAGGTTAAATTAATCAATTGCCTTTTTGTTAAATGCAACAAAAGCTATCGTATTTAACCTGTAGCCTTATTTGAAATTGGTGCGTGTGTTAGATACAGGTGGCTGATCACAGAAAATCAGTGTTTTGCATACAATATGAATATCCAAATCTGTGGCCTTGAAAGCATCCATTGATACGTGATGGAATGTAGAGCATATTCAGAGCTGTACTTATTTAAATGTCAAAAAGATGACTATCTAACCGGTTTGAATAACATGTCTGTTTTTCGCCATTGTTTTTAGAGGCATTTTACCTATACGTTATGCATACACAAGAACTAACTTCTCCTTTTCTATGTTTTAGTTTCAATTTCGCAGATCGGAGTCCTACATACAAGGTTTAAGCTGCTGGGCCACAATGGGGAAACTTTGAAGTAAGTGTTTTTTAGAACCTTTACTGACTATTGTGAATTCTTATGAGATAATTTCAGGTTGTGAAAAACAAATTGCCCTGGCAGTTGATCAGCTTTCTTTGAAGTGGAAACCTGCCTAACAAGCCTTTTGTCTGTGTAAACATTGTGCAACCTGTGTCCATGATTAAATATTACTGTATGCTGCCACTCCTTAAAATCCTTGTCCAATCTCAGGAGGGATCATTTCAATAGCATCCCAGATCTGGCATGCAATCCCATCCGCTCGCAGATAATAGAGGCCTTCTTCGACAGAAGGTACAGTGATGATGATTTGAATGTTGCCTGAACTTATGATGTGAGATAAGATTCAATAACATTACGTGGGAACTGCACAATCTGCGGGCTGATCTCTATATTCCTCTAGAAACTTTCGGCGGAATGGCGAGGGCCCTGTGGATGAGATCCACTTTGAGGAGTTTCTGATGGTCATGTCCCATTTCAAGGCCCCATCGCCACGCATGATAGAGGAGCGTGAGAGCGTCAGGAGGGAGAAACTGAGATGTGTGTCTTCAATCACATTACCACATGGTTGACATTATCGGTGGCTGACATGCAGCAGTTGAACCAATACCTGTGTTTTTTTTCTCTGCAGTTATATTCAACATGCATGACACAGACGACGATGGGACGATAACCCTCGAGGAGTACAGACATGTAAGCTTCCGGTCACTGCTACTCATGCACTTTAGCTGTCACATAACCAGGGAAAATCACAACAATCCTTACTCATATTCTGAGGAGATTATCATGACATGTCAGTTTAATGTTGTTAGGGTATCTTTTGAACAGTTTTGGATAATTTATGGTCAAGAGACGTAGTCTGACACAGACTTGATGATTTGAGTGTCTCCAGTCTAACACTAGTCAGCGGCCTTTCCTGCAACAATTGCTAGTTAATTAAGGCAAAAGGGAGGAATTTCCTTTCCTTAAACCTTTTCAGATGACGTGTTTGATACCTGTAGCCATTGTAGTAATATTATTTGATTTCAACTTGTTGCTCACATCTGTCCAGGTGATCGACGAGCTACTATCTCTCACTGAGGACCTGGGGAAGGACACAGCCAAAGGCATTGCTGATGCTGCCATGAGGGAAGTTGCCAGTACTTCAATGGCTCACATGGTATGTGAGATTCAGTTTAGATTCAATTAAACTTTGATTCATTGTTTGTCTGTAACCTTTCTTTCTCACACGCAGGAACCTGATGAATTCTTCGAGGGAATCACATTTGAGCATTTTCTTAAGGTTGGTACACGGATCACACACTATTATAATACATATGTTTGCTAAATCTACCTTCATAGTAAATTAGCATACTTTAAATGTGCGTTTCAATATGTGATTATTATAAAATATATTGCAAAATCAAATAAAAAGTCAGCCACTTTTAAGGAAAGTAAGAAATAACGTAATATTAAACAACATAAAACTCTTTCTTTTTCTAGCTGCTGAAAGGCTTTGAGATTGAGTTAAAAATGAATGTTCACTTTTCAATGATGGACACCCCAACGTTTTGTAAGTGAGGTTGGTACACTGCACTATGCAGAGACTTCGGGAACACTCTGGAAGCTCTTTATAATGATTTCACTATTTGTTACTAGTTTTTAGTTTATTGCTTGCATGGAAAAAAATGCCTTAATTATGTTTGAATAATTATGTAGATTCAATTAATATAACGATATAGTAGAAATAGTCAATTTGATTGTAAGCAATAATATGAGATAATAAGTCTACTAACTCTGCATGAAAGTAGTTGGACTAAGCAATAATCGAATATCAATGTCCGACTCTATGCATGCAAATATTGATGCTCAAAAGACTTGAAAGAGTTAATGCCATAAATTAATAATATTAATAATCAGGGATATAGAAATGTACGTATATGTAAAATATATTTATATTTGTCTTATAATAGCAATACAACATTGAAATGCCTTTCACAAGTATGGTCCTCAGTGCATGCTCTGCACACTACATTTGCACAATAAAAACCCCATGAACCGTATTCCAGTTCATGGTGCGCCTTCCGGGTAAAAAGGAAATGGGAGTGTTGGCATGCGAGATAAAGTGCCTGCTGGCAGTATCTGATCGAAGAATGAACAAGGATTTCATGATTCACCTCAAAAAGATCATTTTCACTTTTTAAGACCACACATATGATGAAAAGTCATAGAGATATTTTAATATCAGGAGTTTGAATAACTTTATATGAGAATTTAACATTTCAAGCCAAACTTAAGCGCACAATGCTTGATTCAACAGCTACCACCAGTTACCTTTAACTCCATTGCTTTGGGGTGATTGTTATACACAAAGTCATCTCATTCACAACTTTTTGAGAATAATAAATATGAAAGCATTGTAATAACCCTAAAAGGGCATTATAAATGGGAAGCTGGTTTTGAGAGTGTAAACGTTACGCAATGACCACAACAACCCCAGTGTGTGATTCTGGCTGCAGTCAAGCTCAAACTGTGACTATCAATAAAATAAGCTTTCACTTGTACCTGTTTTATATGTTGTGGTTAATAGGTATTGAGTCTTGTCGTGTGCTTGTTGTTTACTAATACTGCATGTTTGAACATGTTTTCATATTTCTGGTGAATGCTAAATTATTGACCGTCTTGAATGTTCAAAGATAGCCATCAGCACTTCTGATGCTCAATGTATTCAGTCGCGGCTGTATACTGCCCCCCACAGGTCAAAACATGTAAAGCATGTTAAAGAATGAACCTGCACCTGATTCAATACATGTTTGTGTAATTTCTCCAGTAGGTACATTACCTCATGAATAATGTTTATGTGGAGCTTTCATCGGATACATGTTTATTCATTGTTTTGACGATGATTATCATTTGAATTATTAGCTGTAATTTCCAGTCCTTGTCACTGATTCCTTTACTTTGTAAACCATCCATATTTTTGCAATAAAATACAACACATGTGTTTCAGAATTCTAACTTTCTACTTGTATCTTTTTTTCTGTAGAGTCGCATTGTATTCCAATCTGTACGGCCATTTCTCTTTGGTTCTGTGCAGAATTTATTGCTAGATATGTTACAGGATATATCATAAAACAACAGGTTTAAAACTAAACGGAGCTCTAATTTCTGTTATTGAAGTTAAATCTAAACGGCTAAGACAATGGATAGTTGAGATTAAAATGAAGCAAGTGCATAGCAGCATTTTCTTCTTTTCACAACTTTTAAAATGGATAACAATGTTGGTCTTCCCAGAGGATAAAACACTTTAATTGTCCTTTAATTCTAATGCCTCAAATGGTTCAAAGTGTTCACTTAATCAATGAATTTGCTTTATGGATTGGCATACACATATGTGCAGTCATTCACAGTTAAGAGGTGATGTCTCCCAGTGATTTTTGTAATCCAAAGACCATTTCTCTAGCGCCAGCATGAGGTTGAAGTTTATTATATGTACTGTATTTCTCATCAAATATGGATAGCCATAAAATTGAGTAAAGACATAGCATTTTTTTCTGGACCTTGGAAACAGTATAGTTTGATTAAATGTCGTTTTGCAGTTCTTCAAAAGTCAACACATTTCCATAGTGATGTGCTGATGACAGGTGGATCGATGGTTACAGGAACTACAACAGGTCCTGGTTAAGTTATGTTATGCGTTGCATGTGCTCCCTCTTGGTGGTGTTGAAGTTGTGCGGGTTATTTGGGGTTTCTTCAAGTCAAGTGCATTAGAGAGTGTTTTACAGGAGATCTTGTGACTACTCCAAGGCCTTTCCACCAAAACTGTATCTGCTGGAGTATACTTCAGCTCTCTCCAGTCTTGTACAGCATTACGTGGGTGGTGAAAATGAATGAATAATGTAGACTGAAGAAACACTTGTCCTAAGGTACCCTCTCTGTTTGGGCTTTAAATAAAGCAGAGTTATTACAGGGAACTTGATTCATGACCTAGAGTGAATCCCCATCTACTTCCAGCTTCCTCATAGCTTGTGATGAGAGGAAAGTTTAGTTAAGCATTACTTAATTTCAACAAAAATACTTGGTATGTTATTTATATATGCAATATATTTTTGACATTGTCTGATTTGTATCTATTTATATAAAAGGGTTTTTTAGCAGGTTATCAACTTCTCCTGTTTTCCCCTTCTCACACTTGGGTCTCCATCTATATAAGGATACAAGTACGCACACACACCGACACCTTGTGACTGGCCAGACAGCCCGCCAGTTTCATGAAATCTTTCCGATCAAATACTGCCTTGTGTTAAACCCATGCGTCATTCTTGATATCACACAGTCAGCGTCTCAGCTGCTTCCTGATTTAGTTTTAACTCCCTTGATACACTTGATGTCCGATTATATTGTTCCTCAGATTGAGTCCAGCAAACAGAAGACCTATGTTGTGAATGAAAATCTGTTTTTCAAGACACCATGTTGCTGAAATGGTATATTGTTTATACAACCACACTGAGAAAACATAGAAAAGTTCAGCAGCAAAGCATCATTTAATAATTCTGTATACAGCAAAACAGCAAAGTAGAACCTAACATAACATATTAGACAACTTAAATATACATATATTGCAGAGACATAACTTTACTCTATTTTAACAGCATGTATCTCATCAGAAACAAACAAATAAATAATAAATACCATAAATAGGCTTCATTACATTGATGCAGCCACCTTCATCCTCCCTTTTAAAGTCTTTTTTTTAACCCAGTGTTGTTAAACGGACTTTCTAAGGCCAGCCTTAGGCCATCCTCGGAAGAGTGTGTTGGTGTGTGTCCTCGTTCTGCACACTTGGCTTTTTAGACTCCTCAGTTCTCTGGAAACATTTGACAGGAGCTCCTTGAAGGTCTTCAGCACCACGCAGCCGTAGACCTTCTGCTGGAAGACGTTCTGAGGTGGTGGTAGTGTTGTGGGCCCCCCCTCTGGTAAAGGCACGTTTGGGAAGAGGCTCTGATAGAAGTTGTTTATGAGATATGCCAGGTTCCTGCTGCCAGCTGTGAATCGACTCAGGTCGCTCAGCAGTGGGCTCGTGGGTAACTGTAAGTCTGTCTGCTGCTCGTACACCCATTTAAAATGTGGGAAGAACTCTTGGAGATGCGTGTAGATGCTCGCTATCTTCTCTGAGGGCTCAAGGCCGGAGATGTTGGGGTCGGGGACGTTGTTTACAGACACCTTGCAGAAAAGCTCTGACATTTCTCCTTGAGAGGCTTTCTGCAAAAAAAGAAATATATAATCAAGCCACACATCTTTAAAGAGGAACATGAACATCTATGTTTTCTAAGAAGGGTGTGGTACAAGCAGATGAGGATTTAAGACATAAAAAAAGCACTTATATGCGTGCACTCACATATGTTTTGATTAGGTCGACAGATTCCTTCTGTAAGAGTCTGCTCAGCTTCAAACTCTTCTGCACAGAATCCCCACACTGCTGGTTTCTGCTTGCTGCCACAGTTCTTGATGAATCAAAAGCCATAACCAGCAGGAGAGAGAGTAAAGCTGTGGAGAAAGGAACTGGTCAGTTAAGGTTAACCTACATCCCAGCGGTGAGGGGAACTTTGTTTTAAAGCCACAAGTGAAGGAGGGAGTGATACAACTAAACTGTTGCTATTAAGTCTGCTATATTATCAGTTCAGGCCTTTACTATAGCAACATACACTGTTGTTATAGTAAAGCATGTTTAAATGTCAACAATTGTCAGTCTCCTTAAGTATTGTCCAGATTCTCCAGACAGTTTAAAAAGTAACATTTTAAACTGTCTGTGTTTAAAGAAACTGGGAAGCAGTCAAATTGAATCTAAATATTTCACTCAGTTTCACAACATCTGTAAGAATATAACCATAATAGTGTGCCAAGTGGAAGTATAAAATGCTTTTTCTGTTTAAATTTGAATAAGAAAGTAGTACAACTTACTTGTTACTGCTTCCATAAACCGTTGAAAATGCATACTCTTTACATGACCATTCATTCTCCTCCCAGTATCACAGGCACATTGTAAGGACTTGGAATGATCACACTCCTTTAAAACTTTTTTTAAAAGACAGAAAACCACACATTTGTCACAGGAGGAAATGACGTGCACTTTGTGAGGCAACCAAATGTCTCGGAATCTCCTCCTTTTTCTTAGATGTGCATTTTCTTTTCTCCTTTATCTCACTAACAAGTGGACAATGCCCCAACATCAGATCAGAACACCTTTATTAGTCCCACAGAGGGGTAAACATGCCTGGGCATGTTTACCCAGCAGGGACCGTGTCTAATTATTTTTGAGTGACCATGGGTAAAACAGGTGATTTATCATATCACTACTTTTTTTTAAATTATAAAATATTCTTAAAAATCTACAAAGTACCTGCTGACAATAAAACCTTATAAGGCATGCATGAAATTGATTTAAGGATTGAGGTCAGCCAACCCTTTGACACAGTTCATAGATATACATTTTCCCAGTGGTTATGTTTTCTAATGCACTTCTTAAATTATAAGAGCAAATGTACTTCAAGGAACTTTTTAAGTTCCTTAAATTGAGTGAAAGCAAACACTGTGCCCATTTAAGGGATTTATGAGTTTCTCTTCATGGATTTACTGGCTTAAAAATATGACAAAATAATAAATCAATGGAAACACTTGTGCTGACAAACAAGTGCATTTTAAGTTATTTTTAAATAATTGGTCTAAAGTGAATTAGGTGTCATACCAACAATCTGTGGTAAAATAGTCTGGGACTTTCCATATTAGCATTTTTGCAGAATTTCATCATTATAGCTGCTAACAACTGCACTTCAGATTATGTGTAATTTCATGCGTGCTTTTTCAGAGGAAGCTGGCAGTCAGAGGAAGTGCATTTCTCAATCAGAAACTTTTACAAGTGCGTAAAGGGGAGGGTCTGCTCAGCTCAAGTAGGTAATATGTCAGACTCATAACTCCGCAAGCTTCTGCTCATGTTATACGTATGTGACTGGGAGGAAAATATGAAAATATAGCGTGTTTTCACGTCTTGTCTAATCTTATCTTCGTCACTTCACTTCCTGTTTGGAGACACCCGATGATGTGTTAAACTCGCTGCGTGTATCACAGGGTTAATGAGAGGTCAGGCCACGAAACAGATCACTGAGAGCTGATCTACATATTGTTGTAGGCATCCACACTAGGTGCTGCATTGCCGTCAAACCACTGACTACTGGAGAAAAGACAGGGGAACTCGACGCACCACAACACCGTCAGCACTACTGCAGGTAAAGGCTAACCACTCTGCTGCCATCCTCGGGGCTTTCCATTTGCCCCGGGGGATAAAAGAGGGGTTTGTGGTGTGGCGGGCAAGGGCTGCAGAGAATTCAAGAAAACTACAGTTGAATTCCTGCCAGCATATACAGTACAGCCATGCCCAAAAAAGCCCCAGATCGACACCCTAAATCAAGTATGTTTACCCTGAAACGTAAGGAAGTGTCACGATCTTGGTGTTATGTCACGGTTTTAGTTTTGTGTGTCTGGTAATGGGTTTTGTTTTGCTGTTCTTTTCTGCCTGTTTCATTGTTAGTCTCTCCTGTCGCCCTCCATGTTGGTCACGGTCAGTTTTGTGTGTTTGTGCTACCTGTGTTTTCCATGCCATGTTTTTATGTTTATCAGCTTTTAAAATAAAGCTCGCCTTTTTGTTTCTAGACCTTTTACCTTTTTTTTTTTTTGTAGTCTGCATTTGGGTCCTACCTTTTTCCACGATTCTTAACAGGAAGCTTAGAAGAAACTGGACGCTCCTGCAGTGTAACTTCCCTCTCACCTCCTGTTCAAGGTTCTTGTTTTCATAATTTATCTTTGGCCTGCATGTGTGTTTGTAGTTTCACATCTTATTAAAATATACAGCATTTGATATGTGAAGTAGGTCACAGCATTCACATCACACCAAAGAAAAGTAAGAAGTCCTAGACCACATAAGTAAGCACTTCAAGGAAATAAAACCAAACGATAAAAGCATTGTCATAAGATGCAGGATGTCGATTGAGACTCCTTTGTTTCAACAGAATCTCTTTTATTTTATCTTTGAACTGCACAGGAAATGGTGAATACGGTTGTTTAGGAAAGTCCCCTTTATTCTAACTAAATACATCTCTCTAGTAACTCATAATTCACACAAATTGTAAGGTTCATAACCGTTCTGAAGCTCTCAAGCAAAGCTTATTCAAGCACCCCAATAGCACTTTTTGTTATGGAACCATTTGTCCGCAAGGCTCCAGTTATGTGACCAGACAAAAGGCCTTACTGCATATGAGAAACTTTTTCATCAAATTTCAGAAAGTTTGTGAAAATGTAAAAGGCTGAAAAATCTAGAGGAGCCATTCAACTTCAGAACACACTCTGGTCAAACATAACAAATTCAGATTTTTAGGTTTCAACGTGTAAAACAAGAGCATTTACGTCATATTGCCATCAGAAATTGACTGTCATTATGTTCCTCTTTTTAAAATACTTTGTTACTTCAGGGGACATCTTCCACCTTTCAGCCCTGTGAGGAACATGACCGAACATTAATACATGTTGTGGCTCTGAAATGAAAAGAGAAAATAACAGGTGAAGAAATACCTGCCAAACATAACAGGGTTGCATTCAAGACCACCACATTAAACAATGTTTCAAAAACTGACCCGTGATAAAATAGTATTTATTTTCTCATACATATACTTCATTTTTAGAGGGTTTCACTGCATGGGGTACTCTTAATATGTCATGAGTGTTTGAAAAACTTAGTAGTGTTTTGACTCAGAGGGGTTTTCAAAATGCTTTACATTTTGTAAAAATCAATCGTCTCTCCAAGACAAAAAACTACAAGGCTAAAGGTGGTATTAGAAATTAAGCACCAAACAATTATCTTTCCATTCAGTACAAATGGAAACATTGTGCAACCTGTTCAATGACCATAGTGAACATGGCAAAAAATATGTAAATCTGATCATTAGACACTATTTACTCAAATGCAATCTGGACCCACATGTTGTGTTTGCTTTTGTAGAACCGTCGCTCCATGAAAGATTGTGGTGCTGATATTATAAGAAGTCTGTGGTTCCATCCACCAGCATTTATACAATCTGAGAGTCTAGTGATTTGACAATATATTGAGCTATTGTATGACCATATCTCTATATTATAAAACAAAAACGAAGCAAAAGTCTTTATCGTTAAGCTCTGTTATCAGTAATAGACCAGTATCTCTGTATGTTCTAGCTATATTCTCATGTACAAATATTCATATCAAAAGTTATACAGCACAATTCTCACCATTTTCCTTTACAAGAACTCTGATTAGTGAACATTAAATGATTCACATATTTAGATGAAACCAAAACAAAATGGTGCCGGCCTCAGTAAATAAAATATAGATATAACAAACACGGAAACTAAAATCTGCTTCAGGCACAACTTAAATAAAGGCATTTGTGAAATTATCATATCAAATATGGCGCTTATGTTCAGTATCCATAGGCTTAAAACAAAAACAAAAAAATGCTTTTATTTACAAACAGCTAAAATCTCTGACAGATTCATGCTTCACTTCACAACCTGAATTTGTCCTTAAAGTGCATGCAATAATAAGCAGTTTTACCAAGTGGGATCTTGTATTGTGATAAGGGTTGATCAAGCTGATGCCAATTGATTCTACATATCAAATAAATGAAAAAAAGATAAGAGCTGTTGCCTAGTAAAGTGAGAGACCACAGTATACTGTATGCATAAGCACAATATGGAAGTATGAACAAAAACATTTACAAATGAATAAACTCTGACTTTATCCAGTGACCCCATACAGTAATATTCACATTCAGAGCATAAAATAAAAAAAGAAACAAAATATAATAAAATCAATAAAAAAAGAAAAAGCAGCTTAACACCACGGGGGAGTCCGCAGCTCACATTCCACAATGTCCCTCCACGTAGCACACATTAAGCATCATACGAACATGATGGGTTTCTGGTTTCTACTTAAACATATCAAAGTGCCAATTTTACTAAAATTTCCTGAATTATTCAATTCATACCAAAAAAGAAGGAAATGGCATGGAGGAAAGAGTCTGTTATTTTTAACACATACGTTTTTGAGATACATTGACTAGGTTTGCTTTTTATTGACATGTTGTTGTAGATTATTTTTGTTTTATTTCCCCCTTCAAGTTTCACAAAAGAAGTTCTCATTGCACGTAACACCTCCGTTCAAAGATGCAATATCTAAGAGAGAAGAAAAGCAATAGAGAAAGTTATCCAGCTTTGCCACTGTGGACGTGACAAACGGTCAAGTGGATGCGAAAAGGGCACGGATATGTTGTCCTCTAAAGATAAATCCACTTTCATCTGGAGTCTTCTTTGGGGAAGTCCAGAGATCCCAGGCTTCCAAAGCCGAGACATCTACTTTCTGTGTCAAAAGTGTGATTTTCTCTGTCCTGACGCTCAAACAAGTGCTTGATCCTTTCAGTGCGCTCCTTCTGAAGCGCGACCAGTTCCTCTTCAATCTGTCATCAAAAAACATGACTAGAGTTATTTCAATATATAATCTCCAACTTTAATCTTGTCTGCCCTGGTAGAGACGGGGCTTTGGTTACTCCATGATTTGTTTACAGTGAAACATCACTAAAGTTGGATTGACAGATACATTTTAGTGTTGATATTCCTAAAAGATTAGTGGTGGCTCTGATAACTGATATGTCATTCAGCATGGACATTTAAACTATTGCAACAATTTCAATTGTTTTTCAAGCAAACCCTTTGCCAGCCATTACCTGGTCCAGCTTCACAAATGTGAGGAATTGATGCTTATCTTTTCAATAGAGTATGAGATAGTACACAAGATTTCTCTTTTGCCCTATTTTTAAAACAAAACGGGACATTTGAAGACGATTTCTTGGGATTTAGGTCGCAGGCATTTTTTAAAAACATTTTCAGAAATGTTTTAAACTGATAAATCAATGAATTAAGAAAATGTGTCACATTTAATATTGATAAAGATAAGTTCTAAGTAGAAGTCCCTTCATCATGAAATGTTCTCCAATGAGCCGATATTAAATGTGAGAGTACTGTACTGTACTGTAATGTACTGTTGGGCCATGCTCTCTTAGTTGATGAACCCTTTTCCTTGCTTTTCTCTACGATCCCTTTCAAACATCAGCTTTGCACACAAGATATTTATTGTGCCTATCAATTTGAATATACTGATGCTAAGCAGGTTCAATGTTTATCATTATAGTTTAGCTTGGTGACATGCTAACATTAGCTCTAAACACAAAGTTCAGATAAGGCAAAGTATTGGACAAACCAAAGTGTGACCTGATAATGACCCCCTCCTTTATCCTAAGGGAGACTACACGTCATAAAATCCTTCCAATAGTTGATAAAGAGATTTATATTTTTTAAAGACCAGATGGCTAGCATTTGACAAGCATTTGACTTGATATCATATGTATACAGCACCTAAGTCAATTGGCCTCCTAACAATGAGAAAGTGATGCCAATGTCAACTAAACAAGTATTTTGAAAAGAAGCCTTTAACCTTTTAGATGACCCCATTGATGTTCCTCAGGCACCACCTCCATGTATCTATGTCCTCTTACATTGAGGAGGCTGCATTCATTTAAAGTATTTAGGGATGGCTTGGATCTTAAACCTACCTTCTGTTCAAGGTGCGCTCTGCGTATGGAGACCTTCTGCTCAAGTTTCTGCTGCTCTCGCTCATGTTGGGTCTCCATCTGTGACTTGGTTTTCCTCTGGTAGGCGTCCAGGAGCTCCATCTCTTGCTTCAGCTGCTGCTTCAGAGCTTGGCACTCCGCTTCCTGCTCCGCGTCTAATCGCATCTAGAGACCCAGCGAGACAGAGGTAGTTACAAAGACATTAACAACAAGCATAGGTAGAGCCTCATTTATCAAACTACAGGCCAAGTTGGGATGAAGATGTAAGAGGTCAATGCAGGTAACGCTGTAATCGTACCGCGTGTGACGCCATCATCTCGTTGATGCTCTGCTCGTACTGCTCAGCCAGGATGGCCAGCTTGCGTGTCTGCTCCTCTTTCAGGCTCTTCAGGATGCTCTTGTGGTCGCCTTTGGGGGAGACCTCCAGCTGATGGTTCCTAAGAGCTTTGTACTGCTTGTTCTGCACCTTGCACGTATCCTGAAACTGTCTCTTGATCTGCATCTCCAGCATCTGCACAGGTAAGAAAGAGGAATTCATGTATTTGTCTTTCTGTTACATACAGACTGTAAAATGCAATCAAAAGTTATCTAATTATGACACAACAGAAGCCAGTTCGACTTCAACAAGGATGCAAAATAGATGATTTACACATCAAAAGTGTCATCATTCTTTACTGTCAAGACCCTTGTATAAAAGCACACTTTTAAACCCCTTGAAATGTACTTCCTGGAAACCAACTGGCTAAATAAGCTCATATTAGCTAAGAGAGAGTTGCAGGCACCTTGAGGTTTCTGGGCTGCTGCCGCTGCTCCAGAGTGTGTTTCCTGTGTAGTTCTCTCTGCCGCCGGCCGTTGTACTCCTCCTGGTTCTCCAGCTCGGTCTGGTGCTGCAGCCTCATGAGTTCAGTGCGTAACTTCTGCAGCATCTGCAGCTGCCGCCGCTCCATGTCCTGCGTGGACTCGTCCTGCCGGATCATCAGGGCATGCTCCATGTCCTTCTGGGTCCCCTTCTTGTTCAGCTCCTGGGGACAACAAGTGTGGTTTTTAACCTGTATGCAAATTCAGCTTTCCATACATTCTGTAACCTGGTTGGTTTATTTAAGGATATTAAAACAAAAAAAAGGAATGAGAAATGTAGTTTTGCAGTAAAAAATAAATGTCTGAAATTAAAAAGCTCTTGATTTTTTTTAAAGCTGGTCAGAGTAGCAGTTTGAAGAGGTCATTCAAGGTTTATTAGTTATTCATTGATTTATCAAACAAAAATTATTAAATTAACTGCAGCAATATTTCTTAAGTATATTGAAAGTCATTATAAGAAACCTTTTTTTCTTTGGGATCTGGTTTGGTGATCACTGGCACTGAATACCTGCACATAATGTGATGTCAGGAGGTAACATTACCTCTCTCAGTTGCTCCTGTTCAAATTCGTGCTTCCTGACCAGACTCCGGCGTTTGAGGGCCCTGCAGCTGCGTTCGTAGACCAGCCTCTGCTGGTCCAGCAGGAGAGACTCCTCCTCAGCCTGAGAGCGCTGTATTGTTTCTTTGTGCCTGGACAGACGCTCATACTTCTCATCCTTGGGTGTACAAGGGTCTTCGCTCATCTCCTATAAATATGGAGACAAAATGTCAAACAGAAAAGTTGTGTTAATGATCTGAAGATAACTCATAGAGTGCATTTCATAATGAACAGATAAACAAAATGAGATCTTAAACTTTGCGTTGTGTTTGTTGGTGATATTTACTTCTTTGATCTTGTCTTTGCAAAACCTGTACTCTTTCTTCTGATTCTCTAAGAAATTAGCCAGCTCTTTCTTTTGCTGAGCAACAATCTGTTGCTGGATCCTCCTCTCTTCTGCTGCAACAGACTTAATCTGTGAAGAGATAATCAAATAAACACCCTTTATTGACTTTACAGGCACAAGTTTGCCATGAAGTGACATCACTGAGTAGTTTCCACCTCATTCATACACCAGCTGTCAGGGCTGTACCTCTTTGTCTGTTTGAGCAGCATGTCGTTTGGCCAGTCTTTCCAGCTCAATGTAAGTGTTGTTCGCATGTGTCTCTAATTCTTTCTGCAGCCGGAGCCTATGCTCATCCATCTCGGCCTTTAGCCTATTCTCCAGGGCGATCAGCTGCTTCTGGTGCTGCCGCCGTGTGCGCTTATACCCAGACATCTGCTCCCGCAGCTCAAAGTCCTGCTCATGCTCCTGGATCTACCTGATGACCTGGACAGAGGAACACAGGAAGCAGGAAGTAAAAGAAAACGGAGCAGGCAGAGCGAAACAACTGCCAAGGTGGAGACAGAAGGAGGGAGGGAGGGGGGGGGAAGACAGACAGCTGGTAAGTCAAAGGGTTACGGCCTAAAACAGAACAGTGCAAACAACAAGTCTGCAAACAAAAAAAAGTAATCTGTTTGCAGATTACGTCCACAGTAACCCAAGAACTTAAAAAGGGTTGAATCAGAAGTCTGACAATCCTTTAGGGTTGATGGTGTCAATGCCTTTCAGCATCAGATTTAAACAAAACAAGCGGTGAACTGCTTTTTGATCCAATTCATACTCTTGATAAGAATCAACTTGCAATACTAGAAAGCAACATCAATTAATCCATCAGTCACTTAAGCAGCATTGATGGCAATGATGTCATTGTTATGCTGAAGACCAATCTGTACAATTACTGTTTAAGATATGACACAAGATGTGGAGATGCAACATTTACAATGTGACACAATCTCATTGGTAAGAGACATCATAGAATACATATACATGCAATGCACACGCATCAAAGCAGAAGCAGAGAGAGGGGAAGCTGAGAATGGAAAAAATGACATCCATTAACAGGATCTGGTTGCCATGACTACAGATGTACAGCTGAGAACACAGACACCCCCCCTTCCCTCCCCTCCCCACCCCCCGTCGCCTGCACGCACACATGCACTAACACACACACACGCGCATTTTTGTATGCAAACGGAGAGAGGGAGAGAGGGAGGGAGGGAGAGAGAGAGAGCTGCGTACCAAAGATGCTGATTTGATGGTGGCAATGTGTTCACAGATCTTGCAGTCGAGAGACCGGCTCTTGTGAGAAGTAGGCCGCAGCTCTGGCCTGGTGTCCCTGTGCACAGCCTCATCCCTCACGCAAGCATGGTCCTGCAGGGGGGGAGGAAAAGGAGGAGATAGTGGGGCTGGGTGCTTCCCAGGCCCTCCGCACTCGCTGTTTCTGCTAGAGCTGCTATTATTGCCGAATCTCCCTGAATGCAGCACACATCCAGCTTTAAATGCATCCTTCCCCTGCTTGTTCCCCCGCTACTGTCTGCAAGTTCTTCCTACGAGAGAGAAGGGCATAGCCAAACAATTGCAGGCACCACCGAGGAGGCAGCTACTGGATGTAGTCGGTTTTTTTCTGGCGTCCCCCTCTTCTCAGAGAGGAGGAACCAAATGGCTCCGGTGGATAAGGGTGAATTATGCAATGCCTACCATTGATAATCGGAGAAAGATAGCACAGGGATGTATGTTACTGCCACTCTTCTTATCCGTTTCAAAATGCAAGAAATGTTTGGAAGGAAAAATAGTTTTCCTGTGTTCCAATGATCGCATGTGGTGCCATGTCTAAAAATATTTGATTCAGATAAGGCACATCCAAACATGGTTTTCCCTCGAATATGTCGCTTGATGATCCGTTTGTATTCCACTCGAATTTCTGTCCTACATTTACAGCGCACTTGGTCATGGTAGGTGGTTCTGGTGCCTTCTATTCATCTCTTCCCTCTGTCCCTCTGCTACACTCCCCCTTCCTTTAAAGAGACACCGCAATACTACAGGCACCTCTCAACCAGCCTCAAGTTTTTTCACGTCAGGCTCTAACACCGGATTATTTTTGAGAAATTCAAATGGTTAGAACAAAACCCACATATATTGAAAGCATACATTTTGTCAGTACTTGAAAAAAACGGAATTATATTATTTATTTTTGCAATATTGTTTATTTTCTCTAAAATTCACTGCTTTTCTTCATATTTTCAAAAAACTACAGATTTATAATACCTGTAATTATTTTAGATTTGTTTCCCCTTTCTCTTTAATTAGTGAAACATTTAAAAATCAGACCCATCACTTTGCTCTAAAATATTGACATCATCACTGGCAAAATAAATAATGGGATCTCTGTATAAACTGATACTGTCATATCCCCCTACTTATTATTACATTTACCATTCCAGATTTATTCCGGCAACGTTTGCACACTGCACCATTGCACCACTGTATTACTGTGAACACGTTGTGTTGTTCTTCTACATATGTATTTATATTTATACATCCTAGTTAAATGTTGATGTCATCCTTTGTCTTTGCTTAAGCTGTATGACTATTTATGTGAATGAACATTGATGAGAGCAACGAATAACAGGGGTCAGATTCTCTGGCCTGGATAATGAAGCTAATATTGAATCTGATATCGACAACAAAAATGTTGGCTTTAGACTAATAACATTTTGTTTGGAGACATTATAAAGCAAAGACACTTACTTATAGTTTTACACTTTCGACAATATTATTAGCTCTGTCGTTACTTTTTGTGGCCGCTAGAGGACACCAACATTTAAATGCAGTATGTCGCTCTCCATGGTGCTGAATGTGTGGTCATACATCAACTGTCACTGATGCTGCCACAACTAGCATTAACATTACTGCTTCTATGCTAAAACAGAGTGCACCTTAGGAAACATGCAGTACTTCCGGTAACCACCTCACATTCCCACCAATCTCCTAGAAACAGCCTGGAGCTCTTTAGCAACAAGCTAACAACCACCACCTGCAGAACCCCCCAGCAACCACATAGAAGCTGGACCTGGAAAAACCTCGAAGCCCTGCCAGACTATAAAATCCTTACAGAAAGAGTGAATATTGGGGTAGTTAAACACTGAACTCACCCAGCTGAATGGGTTAATGTTCAACCCTAATTTACAGTAATGTTGACTTAATGCTTTTGTAATTTTAACTCATATAAGTTATTTACTTTGTTGTTTAGTAAAATATGGTAAAAGTAACAATGAAAATAACATTTGTAAAACAATTTTTATTATATTTAGTCATGACTTTTATGTGTTTACATGTATATTAAACCGACCAATGATTGGATAATAAACCCACAGGCCAAGAAAGCATTTGTGTATGCGATTCAAATTTAATCATTTCTAATTTTATTATATAATTTGTTTTCCAACAATTATTTGCCAAAATTGCGTTATTCCACTAAATGGTGCCTCGTTGTACCTCTACAAAAACTCTTACTTTAACGTGTCATACCAAGTTCCACCAGTAGATCTCGCTATCTATTATTAATTGGCCTTCTTTAGATCAGCTGAGCACCTGACTCTTGACCCTTTTATTGCACTATAAGAAATGAAGCTGATGTTATGTTCATTTCGTTGCAAACCTTTCATCCAGCTCAAAGTCTGCAGTAAAGTTTCGTGTTAGATTGTATGTGACCACAGCAAATTTAAAATGTTTTTGGTGCAATATATTTCAGAAAGCTAATTTAAAAGAAAAACGATCTTTCAAGATTCAAAGGCTTTATTTTTCATATGCACAGAAGCTACAGTGTAGTTATGGCAACGAACATCTCATGTCCCGAGCTACTCCAACAATGCAATATAGTATATATAGAATAAGACAATAAAATGAAGTAGAACAATTTCAATTTAGAGTAGAATAAAATAGAGCAAATGTAGTTTGGTGTTATAAACCTAAACCAGCTTATTAGGAAGTTTAACATGAATAAATACAATGATCTTGAATGCCATAACAAAACTGTCGCTCAAAGAGGAGCTAGACAGTGTCCAAATAGTGCACTCAACAGGACTTTAGGGCCCTCTTGTGGACTACTTACAATTATTTCAGGAAAGCCTTGAGAAAGTGAAATGGGCAATAATCAATACAGATTAAACCTGTTTCTATTAATCATGTAATGTGATGAAAAATACATCAGTAATGAAGGACACTGAAGGAGGAATGTACATATGTTTTTATTTATATGGCAGAAGCTGTTTAATACATTTGTGGAAGATAATATATCAGCTTCATTATGCTGGTATTCATTACATCAATGTACAACATAAAGGACAAACACATAATGAATATATAGTACAGCTTTTACATGGTTGCTCTTTGCCAAAGCAAAACGAATAACTACATGTATTATTGATTATATTGTCATGTTACACAGAACTATACACACACGCTGCTGAGATATAAATACTCAATTTCTACTGTCCATTATTGGCCAGTATTTTCAGCCATAATCTCAACAGTTGCTTACATCATAAAACTACAGCTGGTAATATTTGTAATCAATTAAGATATTAGAAGTGCATAACAAATGATGCTATGTTGTTAGGAAGAAAAGGTCATACTAATCATTTTTATAAGCATTGACAAGCATATACAGTATAACTCCTTACATTTCAGAGTCGATTCTGTGTTATATTGATGAGTCTGCATTACATTTTTGAAAGTAATTGTAATGGTGACAATGCAATACAGTATCAGACTCCTATAGCAATAAAACAAGCTTGTTATTAAATAATGGACACATTTGGTGTTGTGTATGCCTGTGCACAGTGCACCTAAAGTGTCTACACACAACAGTTCCTGCTACATCTCATGGTGGTTTCAAATTCCAGCTTACTTCACTTTTCACCATCCTGCGTGTGTTTGATCTGAACAGGTATGACAATCTCATTGGCTGGATTGCTGACGGATGTCCCGGGGGCCGGGGCCTCTACGGACAGGACTCCATCACCTGACAGAGAAGAAGTGATGTGCTGCAAGTCCACCCCCTGTGGCAACCTTTTAAGAAACAAAGAGTGAGTGTATGTTTAACACTTTTCACAAATTGTTTGCATTACCAAGACTGTTAATACAATAGGCCTACACAGCACACCTATACAACGTACTTGTATTTCCGGGTGAAGCACCTTGAAACAGATCCATGATCATCCTGCTTTTCTTCATGGTTTCCTTGTAATGACAAATAATTGATTATAGGAAACAATTGAATCCAGGTCCATGTATGTAGTGGATGAAAAACCTTCTTTTGATGCTTTCACTTAAGTTTAAACACATCATATAAATAGCCTGTGGGAAGTCATAGAATCATGAGCAAAGTACCTGATATTTGCAAATATCCCTCCTTGGTTGTGATTGTAATCTCCTCTGGTGAGAAGTGATTGACGTCCAGGTTAATCTTCCAGCTGTCCTGCCCTGTCCGGATCTCTGTCACCCCACTTGTCAGCTGTTGTGGAGCCTTTGGGTTCAACGCTGCAGGGTGCTGACCACTGAATGGAGGCAGAAGGGGATTTTGTGCATACCCCGGCCAGGAGAAAGAAGCTAGTCTCTTCTTTGACCAGTCGATCCAGTCTATATCGCTGGGGTCCAGGAAAGGTGGGAGGCCAAAATCCTGCGCAAAGATTCGGCTCGGCTGCGTCCAGTTTGGGAAGGGTTCCCAATTTACATCTCTGCGGAAAATGGGACGGGTTAATGCTTTAGCTGGTTCCCCCATGTCCAAGAAATAAGCTCAGAATGAAGGGAAAGGATGTTGAAAGTGCAAAAATCTGTAGTTCTACCCTAACAAACAAGTCCAGATTGATGACCTGGGCACTATACAATAGGCTGCTGTGTTTTCATTCTCAACAGAAAGTGAGGAGCAGGACTGAAGGAAAGGCTGCTCTAGCATCTGTAATGCTCTACTCACACACATTTATACCCGACTGATTCATTCTAGCACTTGTCCAGCATTAAGTGTGATCTAATTTATGAGAATGACTTGGTATGTCATGGGCCGGGGCGTTACTCTGCCGTTGCCCCGTGACCAGGAACGGATAATGCTAACTATTTTGTATTTATATCTCTGGAGAGTCAGTGTCAAGTTGTTGGAGAATGACTGTGGAAGCAGTGAGCAGCCAGTTTATTCAGCGGTGGAATCTGCAGTCTTGTCACATACTGGTGCTCTTTGTCCAAAGAAATCACGGCCTTGTGTTATGTGAGCACGAACATTCAGAGTCACACGGTAAACAACTTCCAGCTAGACAACACAAGATTGGAGAAAAACACACAGTGTCATGTGGTGAGCATTTAGGGCAAATTACAATGTTGAAGAATTGTTTACATACAGGACAAAGTGATGGACTGAGGCAGTGACGCAGTCGAGTGCTGGTGAGGAATCTAACAAGTAGAGCTATGGCTTCATGGGTCAAATAAATAAAGCCTTTTGCCAACAGAGTGGATCCACATTTAATAATGAGGCAATTTCTGGAGCCTTTCCATCTTCACCATTAAAAGCATTAGTCCAACTATATATTAAGCAAACATGGTAGAAATACAATGTCACCGAGTAGCTCTAGTAACTAAACTCATAGTGATTGGAGTGACACTATGATGACGAAACTATTGTTAGCAACACCATCTTGGATTGTGTCATTTATTTAAATTGCCAACACGTAAATTAGCTACAACATACCTAGATACAACACATAAGTACATTTGCTCAAGTACCATAAGGACTATTTTGATTTAATTTACTTGAGTTTTTCAATTTTATTGATTTGATTTATCCACTTCACTTCGGATGCAAATATGTTTTTTTACATGTATATAACAGTCATTGTTACTAGCTGCTTTTTATATATAAAAAAACACATATATGCTAATATTATATAAGGCAGTACTTTACCATCTATTGTATTTTAAAGTATTTCAAATCTCTTAAACTGTCTCCACATTGACAAACCACAAAATTAAAATGCTGGTACGCATGATAGAAACAGGATAATACAGTATTCTTTCATAATAACATGCTTTTATTCTGCATACTGGTTACTTTTAGCTGATTATACTTCTGCTCTCTACTTTTTGATACTGATAGTTTTTAAAATTCTGGATTCAGGTTGTTGACTTGTGATGGAGTACTTCTCTTTTACTTAGGTAGAGTGTGAGGGAAACTTCTGTAGCAATTGGAAACAGGACTCAGAGAGACACGAGGAGAGCTGGAGCTTTGATGGCAAACACTTACGGTTTATTTGGAGCTTTGGCCGGAGAATTCACAAGACATGTCACGGGCCACGAGTTGACCACGCGGTTGAGATGCCACAATCAATTCTGAAGAACTCTACCCCAGACCTGTGTATTTAGCTAGTTCAGAGAGAATAATCAACATTGTGCATAACAAGATAACACCTCGATCAGCTGACGCCAACAGGCAGGAACAGGGAGACAGAACACTGAGAGCACAGCAGCCAAGGTTACAGTGCATGTGCTCAGTCAGGACAGTATGAACTGATAAACTGGGTCAAAGTTATGGGCCTTGGAAAATATTTCCCCGACATAGAGGATCTGAGTACTTTATCCATCTCTGGTTAATGATGCAATCTCATCTTGGTTTATTAGCAGTGGGCAATATATTTGTATTTTTACTTAGAGACAAATATGAGTTGTGGTTTACTGCAGTGACAACACGCTTGTAAACGCACGTAAAATACTGTATGTGTTACCTTTACAAGTACTTTTGCCAAGAAATGTCACGCCACAGATTGTGTAAAACCTGTGTTTAAAGATGAAGTTACTAAATGCGATTTAAATGGTTATATTTCACACAATTTAGAAAGAAATTCCTAAATAAAACATATAGTGCTAGATGAAGATACACATTACATTGTGTTGGAAATACGTTATTATCCCTGAATTTGTACATAGCAAACTGTATAACAATATTCATCGGCATTCAATAACAGTACACAAACATTAAGTGCACAGCGAGGAGTTTGGCAGTAAATATAAATGTGATCCAAAAGATGAACAAATCTTTTTTTCAGAAGTCAAAACACTCAACGCTTTTTGACATCAACAATAATGGAGTGTTTGGAGAGTAGCAGGTTTGTTTGACCTTTGACGAGAGTTAAATCAACTATATTTAGCTCTATGAACATTAGTGCAGTAGGTCATTGATCATCCAACCTGACGACTGACTGTGAAATACATGAACCCACTAACCTTCAATAACAAATGTGTTCACATTACAAAAAACGAAAGGCATAGTTTTAAAACCCAGCATGCTTTGTGGTTATGGTGGGTGTGTGGTCAAAGGTGAAGGCAGGTTAAGATATAGTAGAAGATAAAGTATGTAGCTACTCTTTAACCGTGCATTGACCCTTGATCCAGTTGATGGTGTAATTCAGTTTGGCATCATTGCTCTGTTTTGCAATGTTTATCACTAAATTAAGGTATTATTTACATTGTTACATTGCATTTAGCTGACGCTTTTATCCAAACAACTTACAATAAGTGCATTCGACCAAGAAGATATACAATCTTAAAGAAAACAGAATCATATAAGTACATCAGGTTTCATAGAGCTAAAACATTTCAAGTGCTACTCAACTGGCTTTAGATAAGCCAGTGCTTTGTTAGTATATAAGAGCTTTGTTAGTATATAAGTGCTTTGTTAGTATATAAGAGCTTTGTTAGTATATAAGTGCTTTGTTAGTATATAAGTGCTTTGTTAGTCATTTTATTGCTCGAAGTGGAGTCTAAAGAGATGAGTTTTCAGTCTGCGCCGGAAGACTAAGCTTTCTGCTGTCCTGATTTCAATGGGGAGCTCATTCCACCATTTTGGAGCCAGGATCGCAAACCCACATGTTTTTACTGATGGGAAATCGGGTGCCCCTCGCAGTGTGGGTGCAGCGAGCCGTTTGGCCGATGCAGAGTGGAGTGCGTTCTTATCTTCTGTCAGCATGGATTTATGTATGCACTAATTTTCAAATTAAACTACTTTTACTAGATGAGGAGTTGTGATTAGAAAGCCTCAGTTGTTCCAGCTTCTTCTGTCTCTGCATCTCTTCTGAAATTAAGAATAAAAACAGTGACATCAGAGAAAATGTATTTTTATTCTGTAGCAGAAAACTACCCAAAAAACCGTTATGTTACAGATCTTCAAAACGTCGACTGAAGATATGCCTCACCTTTTCTGTTTCTGTTTCCTGGAGAGAAGAACGATGGTGGTAATCATTAGAATCAGTGCTGCAGCTCCAATGACTGAACCGGCCACAATTCCTGGAATATTATCTGAAAATAATATGTTTTTTTAAACCAGAGACTCCAGCACAATAAGTCTTACCATAAGTTTGTTTGATTTGATTATTTTTCTTTCCTTTTTTGGTACCTTAGCTGATACTTAACTCCATAGATTCAGGAAGGAAAGAAGAGTAGCCTACATGCAACAAGGATTTAGATTTGTTCAGCATAGCATTTGAGAGCATGTACTGTATTTGTTTGAAAAGAGAGAAACCAGGCAGGGAAAAGTTAATCAGTTACCTTTGTGATCATGCTACAATTGACCTGCTCCCCCTTATGCAGATATCTTAGTTCATTTATATTGAGAATGAAGGCATTGTTCCAGATATATCAACGTCGGTCGATTGGTTAAACGCTTAAAAACCTGGGGCAGACAGACAATCAGTGTGACCAGATCAAATCCAAATCACTTTGTCTATTTTCTGACTTTTTAGCTACTCAACACTTGTAGTGTATAATGAATACCTGTTGTAATGTTTGACATTCTTATCAACCAGTCAGAAAGCAGACAGTTTTCATTTCTATGTGGAAAAGTAATTGTCACATTGGACCCACAGCTAAGGGCAATGCCCATAGAAGCAAGGTGATTGAATAAATACTTTGCTCATTTCCCAAGGCATTTCAGAATTGTAGGCATAAGACAAGCCTTGACTGTGTGAAAGGCCTCCTCATAGTGACATTGAGAGTCAATACAAATAGCTCAGATACATAATCATTTGTTCCAAAATGTTTTGAAAGTGATTTAATTGTTTGTGTAATCCAACACTTTAGAGCTGATTTGTTTGATTAAAGAATGCACTCACACACATGCATGGCACGCACTGCTGATTTGTGAAGATAAAATCATTGGAAATGAGAGATTTTATAATTTATTCATACTGGGAACCACGCAGTTTGTGTCTCCTCCAGACCACACGCCGTCCCACTGGCATACGCGCAACGATGGTCCTGTGAGAGTGAAGCCTTCGTTGCAGGAAAGGTTCACCTTAGCCCCCTGTAGATATGTGGTCCCCTCCTTCTTTCCATTACTTGGTGGTGAAAACCATCCACAGGATATCACTGCAAAGCACAACAATCTCATACAGTGAAACCAAGTCTCAGCAACCACTCATTCATCACATATATGTTTATACACTCACCTGGCTTTAGATCTTCTTCAAGAGAAATGTGACTTTGGTAAGATATTTTTGAAGCGTTTCCCATTCTGGGACTACGACCCACCAGGATATCGTACCTACAGGACATAGGTAGTGATCATAAAATTAAAATATAGTGGGAAATAAAATCATAAGAAGTGGATATATCATTACTTTAAATGTCTTTTGGAGAGATTTCTTGCCAGGCCAATTTCCATCTTATTCAAACTAATACCTTTAGTTTATCACAAGGACATCATCAGGGTTATTTTTTAAGACTTCATTTGAGAAAGCTAATATAGTTTTACTGAGATGGCTAACATTAGTTTTTCTAACAAAAAGGATTTTTTTTTAATGATTAATAATATTGAGATAAAGAAAACTTTTGTCTCGTACCTGCAGAACTGAGAGCCCGGTCCAGAGCATATCTCAGACGTCTGATTAGCTAATGGGTCATTAGGATTCTCCAGGACAGAAAACACTGGAAGAAAACTTGCATCATGTCTGGGAGCATACAAAAATGTGTCAAAAAGATATTTTGAATCATATGTGAACAATGCAGACTGGTTGGAGATGGCCCCTGTAAGACAAAACAGAAAGAAACTGTTAAACGATTTTTAACGTTTAAATCTGCAACATTACATAGTTTGCAGGAACAGACAAAGGAGAACATTAAAATACCTCCATGAAAGCATGACAAGAAGTGTACATGACCCAAAAAAAGAATGGAATGGCGAAAAATACCTTGCACTTTGGGTAGCTATGTTTAATTATTCCTTACTAATGTCCATGATAACTTCGACTGTGAGTTATGAATACATGTATAGCTCCAGGTTTTCTTTTTTAACTTCACTCATGTTTAGCGATTCCTGTTTTATTTTTGATTCTCAGCTCTCACTTCCTGCCCTAGTTTGTTTTCGCGCCAGTTTTGATTGCTGGCCCCGCCCTGATTAGCTTCACCTGTTTCTCATTAGCCCTGCAATCAACAGGCCTCTGCTCTGGTCCCACTTCCCAATTTCCCATCACTTCGTCTCTACTTATACCGGTCGTATATAGTTGGATCTGTTTGCCTGTGACCTGTTTCCTCCTACCTGCCTTCCGGACTTCATGTCTGTAAGCCATTTTAAATATCCATTGAACTGTTGCTGTTTCATCTGTGTTTAGTTATTTCTCCTGCTACCTGTACTCCGAATCTTAACACATGAACTAAATTAGTATTACCCACCGATCTAATCAATCATTAGCTTCACTCTCCCATTTCACTAAACAAAAGCGTTGCTATTCCTTATGTGGAAATATAATATAATCTAAATGTAATACATACCAACAACTGTAATCTATGTTTAAAATATCATGCTAATTTCGTATTGAATTAGGTTTTTTGTTGGGTATACAACATATGAATTTCATTCATATGTCACATGGTGAAATATTTGTTAATAGTTTATATTGCATGGTTTTTATGTATGTTTTGTATATTCTTTTGGATTGGTGCATTGTGTAATTTTTAACTGGTTTTACTTCATGTATCATGCTTTTATTTTGAAATGTTTTAGACTGTGTTTTTAACCCCTTTACTCATGGAAGAAGGTAAGCAACCTAATGAAAACTCCACATGCATTTTGAACAACCGGCATATCAATCTGAGTTGTGAATAATGTCTTACAGCCTGCCCCAAAGCTGAACACCTCCTCTGGATTTGTGAGATTCTGCACGAGTTCCCCGTTGGTGAGAGCGAGGTCATCTTTGGGGTCACCGTTCATTTTTCCCAGCAGTCCCATGGTGGTGTCTATGAACTCTTCAGGCAGGAGTACGGTGGTGGTCATGGTTCCCTCTCTCAGGCGCACTTCCACTCCAGCTCCACTGCTGAAAATCACGGTCACATTGGAAGAGGTAGGAGAAAACACATACACACCTAGAAGAGAGATGGGGTCAGGAAAACGTTTTGTAGTCTAGCTGTCAAATGAAATGAACAAAGGGATACCATTTATAGATTTAATCATGGATAAAAAGATCAATCAGGCTCTCACCGTGTAGGTCCATCCAGCTCTGCTCAGAAAAGGAGAGAGTTTTTTGATTCTGCAGCACCTCAAGGCCATTATGACCGCTGACCAGCCGCACCTCAATAATATCAGAGGGTGTTTCTTGCATGGCTACAGACGTCAACTGTGTTGCTTTTACAGTTCCTAATAGTAAGAGAATCAGAGCAATGACATACGAAAAATGTTTTAATATGTAATTTGCATTGTGTACTTTATAGAAATGAGTACTATATAATTTATATAACACTGAAGAGATGTAAAGACATGCATTTAAAAAATCTAAATGCCTAAAGGAACTCACCATTTACAGGCTCAGTTCTGCCTTGAATTGTCAGCCCTTTCGCAAAAGAAGTCACCAAAGTGTATTCCCCAAAGCCATTGAAGGAGTAGCTGACACCATCGAATGTTATGAAGTGGGGATCTCCAAACACCACAGCTGCCATTACACACACAAAAGTAAGAATTGCATTTCAAATAGTCGCTTAAAAACTCATTAATATTGTGCTAAATGATTTACTTACCTGAGCCGGGGGACTTGTACCGTCTGCAGTCGCTGGAGGGCCGGTGTTTGAAGTAGAAGTGGCAGTTGTCAGACCACAGGCAGCAGTAGTAGAAACTCAGGACGTCATACACCCAGTGGGACTGTCCTGGGATTCGAGGGGGTTTCTTGAATGGAGGTGAGCCCCAGTCGTGTGCTCGGTCTGGAGTACTTCCCCCAATCGAGTCTGCGGTCAACACCTGAGCACCGGTGCTGTCATAGCAACACTGTTGTCCCGCTGCATACATTGGGCTGTTGATAAATATCCAAAAACAAATTCAGTTAGATGTTGAACTCTAATGCAGCAAGTAAGGAGCTACACTAGAGGCTCTGTGAGACTACACTCAATGCTAACGTGAGGATTCAAGATTTAAAGGCTTTTTGCAATATATGCTCTACATTAGCTACATTGTAGTTTGTGCAATGAAAATCTTAAGTCAGGCTCCTCCAACAGGGCAACATACAATATGCTTAGAATAAGATGAAAATACATAACAACGCGCAATAGACAAAATGGTTTAAGTTGCATGAAAAAAAGATATATACATATAAAATATAATAAGAATGTATATACAGTGGGCTTGAATAAATACACTGTTAACATGCTGGTGTAAACCATGTTAACCATCGTCATTTAGCTTATTAGCATGCTATCCATGCAGGATTTAATCATAAACTTAAATATTGATAAAGTGTAAGAATATATGTACTGTATGAATGTATGTAAAATGACATAGCAACCCATCTAATATTTTTTGAGATATTACAGTCTTGACATTGCTTAAAAGTATTTAGCCACTTATAATTATCAGCAAGTAAATCAATGAGTGAGGCTTGATCAATAAGTTAAATGATATACAGCAGGGCAACTGGACGAGTTGAACGCATCAGTACTTATATAACATTTAAATTAGTGGTAAAACCTCTACAATAGTGTTTTTGCAACGGCTTCCTCATCTGTGTACATTTGTTTCTGTTTCTCTCCTTCCTTCTAGACACCCACTAACCAAAGCCATTAAAACTCTTTGAAGCTTTATTGCCATTCTGTCCACCAGATGCCCTCGGAGTTTCCTCAGCCCGGTCACATGACTCCCACGACCTGCTGTCTCATTTCACAATCACCCTGTACGAATAAGCCTCCTATTTCCCCTGTCAGTGACCCTTAATCTGCCTGCCCCCTTTCCCGTGTCCTTTAGTTTGCACAATCAAGATACAGTAAGCCGGTTATTTACAAGTGCTTTATTTTGGGTGAGGTAGCATGGGCGAGGTAAGGTGTGGGCAAGTCTTTGAGGTTATAGATTTGAGTATGTTTCGGATTAATTGCAAATGCATTTATAATATTTAAAATAAAAAGTTGACATCTGACCGTGAGAGTGTAGGACTCACCTGGCCTGTATAGCCCTCACACAGTGAACACATCCTGGGTGGTAGGTGCACACACTCCCCTTCTCTATGTCACAGCCATAGTCTGTCTGCGGAGAGAGATACAGCCTTTATAACCGGTGTTCATACAAATACTGCAGTCCAGAAGCATATCATTATAGTACAATTTATAATAAAAATGATATTAATGTGACCATGGCAACCACTCAGATGGTCCATTCGCTTGTGTGATGATTCACACGGAATCCTCATCAATACACTCACCAGTCATTGAAGGTCAGTAATGGCTTTGCCTAACCATAGATGTAAAATGTTTAAGATAAAAGGCAACAGATTGATGGTGGAATGTTTTCTGCTTGTACATAGACCCCTGCCTGTCTTTGTAATGATAAACACACAAAGCAATTACACACTTTTATCTTGGTAATGCCTTACAACTCCCACACTGTGATGACATCTCTTTTCCATTTACTCGTGACGTTTTACTTTGCAAATGTGATTGATGTTTATCTGTGCAAAATGATTATCAAAGTAATTAACCTGTAAAATAATGGTGTGTCTGTGTAGGGTTAGGGGTTACTGACCCTTTTAACAAGGCTGTCAAGTGATGGCACTATCCAAATCTATACGCGATACCTCACATGATACAATGCAACTTTATTGTCAGTGTACACATGTTACTGTATGTTAAAACTAAGTGGTTCATTTTCATGAACTTTCTAAGAATGCAGAGTTAATATCAGTGTGGACAGACTCACAAAAAAGTCAAAAAGTGCAGCAAGTTTAGATTTGGCTGCAATCATTTGAGATAGCTTTGTGAATGAGGTTTTAACAAACTTACATGAAACCTCCCTGTGTCTGCTCTCGCTTGAGCCAGGGTGCAGGGGCAATCTATGATCTCACTCAGGAAGTTGGGCAGCTCGTTCTCCAGCTGGTCCCATGCTACACATTTATCCAGGGCCCAAACTGTCGAGTTCTGCCTGAACTTCTCCTCCAGATGCCAGGCCAGAGCGTGATCCTCCGTCCATGCGGCCTGCACATTCCTAAATTAAACGCATGACGAACAAACTACAGCTGACAACTATATTAAGATGTTTAGTGACAGTACATCTTGAAGGGTATTTGCACCACATACCACATGCCATCAGGGTAGATGCTGGGGCTGATGCGTAGAGAGCCAAGCTCCCAACTTGAAAAGCCGTTCTCTGCTGGTTTAGGCAAGAAACTAAAGGAACCACTGTTGGGCTGATCCTTTGCAAGCGAGTACAGATACGCCCACTCACCAAGCCAGCTGTCTGTGTATGGTTCTCCTACAGAGAAACATTTCACAGATCAGGGTTTTTCACCATTAATCTCCAAAGTGTAAATGTAGTGTAGGAATAGGCTTACTCACCTGTCTCCCTGTACCCCCAGAGCTCTATGTTGACCCTCTCTGCTCTGACCAAAGACGTATTCCAAGTCATCTCAAGGTTGCCACGGACATCAGTTGTACCATAGTACTGCCATTTTGTTGAGTTGACCAGAATCGCCTTAAACTTAGCATCTAACTTTCCAGTATGTACTGTACCAACACATTTGAATGAAACAAATAATTGTGTTAATGTCAAAAGCAATTGGAAAACTGAATCATTTGTTAGTCATCTTAAAAGCGCTATGCAGATAGATACAGTACCTGAGAGCCAGGCTCCAGTTCTATTAAACGTAGTGCCATTATCAGAGGAGATGCTCAAAGGAACCCACCCTGTTTCGTACAAAAGTGGGGAAATGCAATGGCCTCTACTGGTTTCATCCACATACCCCTCCGTTTTGATATTGTCATGGAACCTGCCATTATAAAAGAAAAACCAGCAAGTTGTTTTTAATGAAGTCATGTTTCTTTTTACTGTAATACCAGAGAAAACAGAGTTAAAATCCCAGAAAAAGCTCAAATGGAAAACTTGTATTCTTATATATATATCAATAATATAAGTATAAACGTTTTTTATTCAGCTTTTATCAAATGTATCACTAGAACAGGTTTAGCACCAAGTCAACAGGGAAGTGTAGAAGAAAGTCTTACCTGCATACAATCTCTGAGCTATTATTAAAAGTTGCGTTAAGGACAATAAAATCTGTCCCACCCAAAATGGAACCGGAGTATGGAAGGATCTCCACACAGTATTCTCTATAATCTGTACAGCAGTTCCCTAGAGAGGTGCATGTTGAATGGCATGAACACAAATCTAGTGTTTTGCCACAGTTTCCTTCACAAGTCTGTCCTGTTTTTATAAGGAGAAAGAGGAGTTAAGTCTGGAGTGTGTGTTTCAGAAACAATTTAAAGTTATAGAAACATATTTCCAAATGTAAGAGATGAAGTGCAGTCTTTAGTTACTTACCTAATGTCCTGCAGATACATGAAACCAGAAGGACACATATAACTACAGTGAATCTGTCCATCATGGCTGAGAGAAACTGCGGCTCTCTTGGCTGGCTTTTTCTGAATTTGTTCCAGGATTATGTACTCGGCATGTTTCTAAACCTTGGCCCTTTTTTATCACAGGCATTTAAAAACCTCTGTTTAATCATTAACTTGCTGTCATTACGTTTACAATTCTGACTGACTATCACCAATATGTCTACCTTTGACCATTTGTCCATTTGTCCGTGCCAATCAGTTAGTCACATCTATTAGTAATGGATTTTAGATTGTAAAGCTGGCGGAAACTCATTTAGGCTCTTAAAACGAATTACGATCATATTTAGATAAAGATATAACAATTAGGGAGATACACACATATAAAACCTGCTTTCATACATCAAATATAAGCCAACAATGATGTGAAATACATGACTTACAGTATTTAATTCTTATTTCAAGATAACGCAATCCTCAATCAATTTGTATTACCATTAGTTCAAATAGGGTCTTCTTGAGTTTAAACTTGTCGGCGATATAACAAACTAGACATAATAATAATAAATGGGATTTATATAGCGCTTTTCTAGACCCAAAGACGCTTTACATTATGAGTAAGGTCGACAAACAAAACAGGAACAAAAACACAAACAAAAACGAAAACAAAACAAAAACAGAAAAGCAGTCAGGAGGATGTTGGTTCAGAGGGGGGAGGGGCGGGTTTAAGGATAAGCAGAGTTGAAGAGGTGGGTTTTGAGACGGGACTGGAACAGGGGAGGGAATCAGACTCACGAGGTCCTTATGGGGGAGGGAGTTCCAGAGCTTCGGGGCCTGCCCACAAAGAAGGCTCTGTCCCCGAAGCCTCACGGAGTGGCCTTTGGGGATGAGAGCTAAACCGGCTTGAGGTGTGATCTGAGGGACCGGGGTGGTTGGTAGAGGAGGATGAGCGAGGTCAGNATCATTTCAAAGTGACACAGAGACATTGGATTAACCTTCAGCAGCGTTTGTATGCTTTGCTGTTTTCTGATCAAAGGTTGTGTTCAATGGCATTACAACACATACAAACGCTGCTGAAGGTTAATCCAATGTCTCTGTGTCACTTTGAAATGATTACTGATAATCCATCATAACAATTTTGTCAAAAACTGAGTTTTCATATAGAGTGTATGAGAGCTACAACACAGCTTCCGGTTTTGGGTTTGCTGGCTGCGCATCACTCTCATTCACCAATGGGTAATGTTTAGATGGATTTAGGAACTTCCCTATCGATTCTATTGGCTCTAAAGGTTCAAAAGTGGTGTCAATCACCAAAATCGACCGATGGGTTCCAGAGATATGGCAAATACACCCAAAATGTTTTACTTTGTTCAATCTGAATTTACTTTAAATAAAAAGATTCTATATTGATTCTGACTTTTCTACATCCAACTCACAGATGTATCATTGCTTTGACAAAAAAGATTAATAATTTACCCCTTTTAGAAGCGAAGATTAGTCAATTGTTCTGGGAATGTCACTTTCGAGCCTGAGACCTGAAAAACAGGCTTGGGGCTTAACAGGTTAAATACATTTTTAAAATAAATCCGTAAACGAAAGCATAGGTCACATACAATTAAAACAGATTTTTTTAATGCACCTATTTTTCTTACAATTCCCAATGTTAGCGTTTCATAATTTCATTTTCGATTACTTAATCATCGTTTGTGTTATCATTTATGTGTCCAAAGCCTTGACTTTGGGGGGAGGATAGTTATGAAGGCTCAAAATGACCCTGTTTATATTGCTTAAAAAAAAAGTGAATGCCTCCTTTTTGGACAGACTCTTTAGTGTCTTTGTTTGATATCACTTTCACAAATTAAAATGACCTCAAGTAGCTGTAGCACCTGGCTGTAACACCACACAGACATACACACACACACACACACACACACACACACACACACACACACACACACACACACACACACACACACACACACACACACACACACACACACAATCTACATGATGGTAAAAGCAGCACATCCTCTCTGTGTGATGTGATAGCTCATGTGCACAGAGGAGATTAATATGGCGATTGCGTTGAAAGACCAGGCATGAGAATTTTTTTAATCGCACTGATATATCAAAATCGGTCCGCACATAAATCTTCCTACTTTGACTTGAACAATACCACGTCTTATTTTGCAGGGCAGTATGATCACCTGCATAATAAAAACCACGCAGTATTTGCATTCCTGAGATGTGACAGGGTGAACCGTTTGGGGATTTAGATTTTTGAGTTAAAGATAAGTGATATGGAGATAGGGAAGGACTTGTAAGGGAGCAGATGGGAGGCTGTTAAAGAAACATACATGAAAGACCAAAAAGGAAATTAAAGAGAGAATTGGAGACAAAGAGACAGATGTAATGTCTTATACAGAATGGGATTTGGCCATTGTTATTCATAGAATTGCATGCTGGATTAGGAGAATGTCTCATAACATTCTCATGGCTTGAAATTGCCACTTAATTCAATGACAGTGCAATGCGATCTGGCATGATTACGAGAAGAAAAAAAACTGCATTGGCACAGCGTGGCAAGCTGCCGGATGGTATAAAGACATCTTTAGTTATTTGTAAGGACTGAATCTCACACAACAAGGAACATTTTTATTAAACTGAAGTTTTGCATTTTTGTCTCACCACCTTTGAGTGTTTTGCTGTATTTTGGTCGTTTGGAGGGGAAAAACTGATGCAACAAACTTAGGCCGGATTCAAACCCATGTTCCGGGTTCACGGTTTCTACTTCAGCCCAGTGAGCCGCCAGCACACCATAATTTCTATCTTCACACAGTTCCCCTCGAAATAAAAAAATTGCTTTTATAAACTGCTCTGAAAAACAGGGTCGTACCAGAATCCTCTGAAAGTTAAATCTTACTTAATGCATATTTAATGGTTGTACAATCCCAACAGCTACTGATATCAGTGTCGCTGCGAACTTGCATCCTGCAGCACAGACTAAGTCAATATTAATGTGCACATTAGTAGATATGCATATTGCATTTCATACATTACAATCTTCACTCAAGTTGCAATGTTGGCTCTCAAGAATATCTAAACTCCATCATTAAAAAAGGCGATGACTTTTAGTGTATATTTATTGTTTGGATAAAATGGTTTGAAATTGCATTTCTGAACGCAAACACTGTAAACCTGCCTAGCAGTAATACATCTTAGGATCAAACGACGTGATTTTGCTTCTTTTGATAGGAAGGATCAGTGGGTGAGTCAATCCATGGAGTTATAAGACTGAGTCTCTGAAGCTCAAACACAGCCAGATAATCTTTGCTGACCGCCAGCTCTGGCAAAGCATCTGATCCCCCCCCAGGGCAGCGATGGCTGGTGTCCTATCAGGAACACTCCTGGTCCAGAGGCATTTTCCAGAGATAACAGGGCCGCAGGAGAGAGGAGACATTAAGTAGATGAAAGGTCTGGGAGGAGCTGAACAAAGATAGAACTCAATAATATTGAATTTGTTCAGCAAACTGGATCTCAGAGGAAGCTAGTTACACATGCAGAAAATTAAGAAGCTGTACCAAAATCACATTAATCATTCGACACCGTAACAGAGATTCGTGTAGAAAATTAATATCTGGAGCATTGCTGGTATACATGCAGCTCCTGTACTGACCTCTTGTCAAACGCTGTGCAAAACATTGCCCAGTGACGTCAAAACCCACGTGGATTCTGCAAAACCTGCTTTGATCTCCTCTCCCAAGAGCACGAGATAAAAAGAACAAAAGTGAAAAAAGTCCTGTAGCGTTAGCACTTGGCAGAAACACAAGACACAGGAAAAACACTACTTATTCATTAGTTTACCCAATCAAACAGAGCAGAGCATTGAGTGTAAAGGACTCAAAATGTACAAGAGCGGAATTTCAATCCAACCCATGCCTGACTGCAGCAAATACAGTAAATAAACCCTCGGCTCTGCAATGAACACAGAGAACCATTCATGCATAAATACATAAATGCATAAATTGTCCTGCGATGGATTAAATAGAAACTTCCTAATCTGCATATAAATAAATGTTAAACCTTATCTCAGGTCATTCAAAGCTGATACATTCCTTTCCTGTTGGAGTAAAATCGTACACTGCTGCATCTGCTTGGCATGTGTCTACAGCGCTGTCGGGATTCCCCATCCTATTTGGCTGCGGTAATTGAAACTGTGCAGGTGTGAGGCCCAGTGCACAGGGATTTCATTAGCAAAGAGCGAGATTCTTACCTGACACTTTCTCAGAGTTCTTTGAGAGCTACGCAGAGCTGTTCTGACAAGCCAACTCCTGTTTTGACATGAACAGGGATTCATTTATTGCTATGGCATGTGAGTCCGTAGAGAGCGTCTTGTTTTATTTTAGACCTTGAGTCCAACTGGTCTGCCAAGCCAAGGCCAGTGTGGCAGTGATCCATCTTAAATGTTTTTGAACATTGTCAGATTCATGCTATAGCTTTTTACCCGAGTCTCCAAAAATCTTAAAGGACACCTATTATGCAAAATCCACTTGTTTGTGTCTTTTATACATAACCATGTGTCCCCTCTGTGTTAAGAGAATCTGAGAGTTTCAGGAAAAAAGATTCTCTCTCTTTTTGTCCTGATCCATTTATATAACAACCTGTCTGAAAATGAGCTGATCAGATTTTGGACACTTTATGATGTCACAACGATTTTTGGGCTTGTGTAACCATAAGCCAATAACCAACCCCCCCCCTCCACACCTTATCACCTGAATCTCCTCCTAGAGCACCATTGTGTTCTTTTTAACCAAATATCTCGTGGGGAGTGGCTCCTTATTTTCACAGAATCAGCACTTTTGAAACAGGGCTGAAACAGAAGGGATTATGGGATGCTACAATGCATGATCTGTTTGGTATTTCGAGAAAAAAAAAATATTTATTAACAGTTTCAGATTCATGCTACTGTATAGCTGTTTACCCACATCTCCAAAATCTTAAGTGATGCATAAAAAAAGTTTTGTTCTATCTAAATATTCTACAAAGAAATACATCTCGGTATGAGGAAGTTGGAAGCTGCACTCGGGAAACTCAGAGCTAACTGATGCAGTCAAACTGAGATAGACAGATGTTTGAGAGATCTCCCTGCTGATAGATTTATGCAGATGAGTGTGTGGAATTGTCTAGTATGGATATCACTTTGCTTTGAGCTGACTGTCCGCTCACTGGAAGGAAGCAGGCAGGCATGAGTGGAATATCAAGTGTCGCACAGATGGCAATCACCGCTGTTACTGGGTGTACAATGCACCTTACAGAATTAAAAACAGGGTATTGATTAAAAATAACCCTTTAAAAATGTAAAAATTAGATAAGGGTTTCATTAATTGGAGTTACTGTTTAACTGATTAGTTTATTTTAAGTATTGGTATAATACATGCATGAATAATTCTTCTACCAACAATGTTGAACCAGAACGTTTTTCACTTCACAAATGATTATTTGTCAGCGGTATGCCAGCAAATTATCCAATTATCTTGATTTTCAATTAAAACTCATCATCAATAGAATATGCACAGTGTGGCATCAGTATGCAATAGATGTTATGTGTTGTGGTTGTGGATATTTGGTTTGTATTAGGGAGCTTGATAAGATATGAAACTGTTGTGTGAAGAGGGAGTTGTCTAGAGACTTCCTATTGTATGCTTACCAAGAATATGATTCATTGTAGAAGCCCCCCTCTAAGACTTATTATCTTATTAGGGGGGAATGTTGAGTTTCTACGTTCAACACAGAGATGGGATTCCTCTTCAGACATTAGCTGTCATCTGTGACCAAAGACTAACAATTTAAGCCTATGAATAGTTCGGTAAGACATTATTAACACGCTGCTCCCTCTCCAATAAAAAAATATCCGGGTGTTGTGTCCGATCCTTAATGAGTCTGAGTCGACTGGCGCAGACGTAATGGGTCATGAAAAGCTTATTTCACTCTGTGTCAACTAGGGAAGCAGATTTTGATTCATCCTTAATCTGCATATCCAATTTACATTTCAAAAGGAAGCAATCCTTTTAATTTCCATGAAATTGGGTGTCTATTAGATATACACGGAAAACACGATTCAATCCAATAGGATTCAGACTCGGAGGACATCACATGTGGGAAATCACCATGCAGATTATCAATGTGTCGACCTCTTCATCTTTCGAACATAAAGCAACATTCCAAATCGTGATAATCAATAGATTATCAGACACATTCACATTTCAATACCTTAATATTAGCTTTTTGTATTGCTTCATACCCAGGGCTTTCTGAAGTGAAAATCATGTTTTATTAAGTCAAGATTTGTATCATCTTTTCCTTATCAACCATTCTCCACTTTGCGCATTTCTTTCATGGTTTTGAGAATTTCCTCAGTGGTTTGCTTACAGAATTTGTGGTAGCTGAAATGTTTAATACAGCAATATGTCATCGCCTTTTACTGGCCTGGGACTGGAGTAACAATTATGCAACTGCTCATACTACTCAGATGGATTATCCTCTGATGTTTCCTGGGCAAGCCAGAAGTATTTCCTGCCAGGATCTATGAATGTAGGTCACTTTAAGGGTCAGCCATGTTGAAGTGAATACATTTTTTTGGACTATACATATTATTTTTACATATAAGAGCTTGATAAGAAAATGTATACACCATTTATGTCTTTTTGCTGCATATGAGACTCGTGCAAGCAAACAATTATCTTAGCTTAGCATAGGGGGGACTCAGCTAGCTCGTCCCTCCCAAACAAAGGTCTTGGCTTTATATAAAATGAATTCAATTAAATTGCATTGTTGTGTTTGCATGATGTGTACGATTTATTAATCATATAAATTGAATAATTACGAGCAAAACAAGGTTCACTTTACGCCAACAACCAACATAGATGGTAGCTGACAACTAAAGATGTCATTGCTCACGACATTCTCTTCAAAAAAACAGCATGAATGGAATAGATATTATACACGACTGCCATACAGGATTCCCATGAACATATGTGTCTCCCAATTTCAGGTGTTTCTGGCTGGCTGGCTCAGTTGTCTTGTACTAAATTGAATAGTTGAATCTCAGAGGGGAAGAGTCTAAAAAAAGACACTGCAAACTGACAGATGCTGGTGCAAGCTGGACATGCAGGCTGATGCCAAGGAACACAAACAAGTAAACAAGCAGCTGCCTGAAGGGTGTGGGGTTTCCTGCCTTGTCCATGCTCCAACGGACTGATTCGGGCAAAAAAAAAACATTTCACTCTGGTTTCATGATGTATAAATGACAGGGGGGCTTCTGAATCTGGCAGAGCTGGTGTTATGGCTGCCGGGATTGGCACCCTCTATATAATTTGGCCAAGATGGTCACAATATCACTGAAATCCCACTGGTATTAGTTATTACCTTGTTGTTTGACCAAACAAAAGCAATTTACTCTGAGTTTATCAGGTGAAAAATGAAAGGAGTGCTCCTAAATGTGGCTGAGCTGGGGTTATGGCTGCCGGATTTGGCACCTTCCCTGTAACTTTAGCCAGGTGGTCACAATCTCACACAACTCACACATGGTGTTAGTTATTCTACCATGGGTTAAGCAAACAAAAGCATTTTACTCTGGATTCATGGTGTATAATATAGCTTGGGGTCTCCTAAATCTGGCAGAGCTGGTGTTATGGCTGATGTGATCTCACTAAAATCGTTAGTTATTCTCTTTGACTTGAAGAATATGCTACTGTCTTAGCCATATGGAATTACATTACATGTTACTTGTTAGACGCTTTTATCCAAAGCGACTTACATACTCAATACTGTGGGCAATCCTCACAGGAGCAATCTGGGGTGAAGTGTCTTGCCCAGGGACACAACGACATGCTGACTGCAGTGGGAGTTGAACCTGTGCTCCCCTGATCCGAACACCAACGCACTAGTCCATTGCGCCACAAGCCGCCTACGTGAATAACCAATACTTTAAAAAAAGTGCATGACAGTTGCAACCTTGGATCAAAATCTGCCTTCCTTCTATTAACCTCACAAATAAAGACAGTATGTATTAATAACAAGGTCTGTCCATTGGCTGTAGTNAGTAGACAACACATATATAATCATCCATCTTTGTAATATTAGAGTGCATCACATCAATTGTTTTTCATTATGCGCATTTTTTTAATAGAAGTATACTGCGTAAATGCAAAAAATAATCTTCTCATCGCAAAACTAAATCTCTCAGTATATGCAAACTTCTTCTTGGTGTACCTAAACCAGCCAGTATACACACTTACTCTCTGCCTCTTATGAAGCACCGTTGCCAGTGGAATGTCTATCTGACATCCTGCAGGCTAGTCATGTTGTGGTCAGGTGACTCAGGTACACAGCGGTTTGTATACAATCTTGGTCCAGCCCCAGCCACTCTGCGTTTCAGTGGTCGCGTCCACAGCCTCTCTGCGCTCTCTCTGCGATCCCTTCTATATCTCTCCTCGCGCTTCTCCTTGCCGCGGCGCCCGACAGATTACGGGCATGAACCTTCTATGCGAACGTACTTTAGGACCCGGGCCTACGCCTGCTTTTTCAATAAAAAAGGGAGGCCGTGTCTTAGATCTGTGTTAATATATCCACTTCTGTGTTCCTTTTCTTATGTTGGTTTATATCAATGGTGTTATTTTATTTTCACATTAATGGCTGCTGCAACGTAACGTTGGGTGGGAGGCCTTTAAACTGAATTAAGTGTCTAACTCTGTAAACTGGAATAATGCTTGCTCTCAGTAGATTAGACACATCTATTTTTTTTCATTTGGAAATTACATGTATCTGAGACATATTGCTCTCACTAGCCAGAGGAAAGGTCTTGGGTTAGCCTTCTTTTTCTAAATGAAATGGCCCAGAGGCTTCACTCGACATTAGTTTGAGTTTGAATTAGAGTAGAGATACCTAGGCTTATGTATTTTGGTTTCCTCTCACTTGCACATTGAAGGCCTGAGTGGTGTGGCTGCCTTGTGTGTCGTGTGTGCCTGTGGTGTGTGTGTGTGTGTGTGTGTGTGTGTGTGGTGTGTGTGTGTGTGTGCCTGCGTGCGTGCGTGCGTTGCGTGGTGCGTGCGTGTGGTGGTAGTTTACTTTTAGTAACTGAGCTGAGTTCGACATACTAGCGGGAAGCTAATCTGGTCACACAATGCCGAGCAGCCGTCCAAAGTAAACGCTTGTTCTCGGCCGGAGAAAGGGGCCCATCCTCATTCATATATTCTGAAAACAAAAAGAAGAAGCATGTACAAATGAAAAGGCCTGTATACAAACAGGCAGCCTTGAAGTGTGGCAATTCCACCATTGCATGGCAATATTCATTCTGTAAATCCTATAAATGTCTTTGAAAGTTGACAAAGACATTTGTTGGCTTAATTCACACATCCTTGGGTATTACCGTAATTTTTGGGACTTATAAGCCGCCGCCTTTTTCCCATTTTGTTCGACGCCTGCCGGGGTTTATATAACGGTGCGGCTAATCTATGGATTTTTACTGCTAACGGCCACTAGGGGACCTCCTAAATCTATGGATTTTACAGGTTACAGTCCACCACCTTTAACTCTATGGGCTCTATGGCCGGTCCGCGCCCCCCACCTTTAAACGGCGGGCTCAAGCAGGAAAAGCTGGAGGCCGGAAAAGAGTGAGACAGGTAGCGCGCAAAAGTAAAAGTGGAACCGAGAGTGGTACGAGAGACAGAACGAGGGCAAGACAGACAGACATTACGAGAGCGAGACACTTTGTCCCCGTACCACTGGTTGAAAACCACTGCTGCAGATCACTGCCGGTACGTGCGCTGGGAGCGCACCGTTTAAGTTTGAAAGTTGAAAAGTTTGTGTGTCTGAAACGCTATGTGATACAGTACAGTTTACACAGCACAGCACATGTTCTGTAGCTACTATTGCACTAAATGGTAACACTTGAATACGTTATGCAAATATGCAACTTGTTTGTTGAAATGTTAATAAATGGGAGCTTCCTCAAACAGCCATCTCTTTCCCGACAATCCCCTCTGTGCACGAACCCTTACATATGGTAATTAAACATTAAAACACCTGCGGCTTATAGTCCAGTGCGGCTTATATATGTACACATCATTCAATTTAGCTGCTGCGGCTTATATTCAGGTGCGCCTTATAGTCCGAAAATTACGGTAGTTTAAACCAATTGGATTAATCTTTAATGAATGAAAGGCCTAAGGTTTGTGTGTGTGATCAAACTAAATCTACACTTAGTACATGCCAGGTTCTTTTTTCACTTTCTCATGCATGTCTTAGGCAAAACGTACTTTTCAAGGGTGTATTTCACCGTGTCCTCATTGTGAGTTGCCACCATGACATTTGCTTTCCTGGTGTGATCGATCTCCTCCAGCACATACTCCAAACACCTGGATAAACAACAGGGCAGATGGTTAGGCTTTTAGACATTTTCGAGCTGAATCTGAAATTCAAAACTCACTTGTGATACATCCTGTTGGTGGCCTCATAGTCGGGGTTTATCGGGTCTTCGTAGCCGATCTCTTGGGCCCGGTCTCTCTCTTGGTACATGTAGGCTCCACGGACCAGTTTGGCACCAAAGTACCAGCCCTCCCGTCGAGAAAGCTCAACATCCACTGTTACATTGTCATAGGCGTCCTGAAAGTATTAAAAACATATAATTACTTGACTATCCCGCCATCCTTAGAAGGCTAGTGACACAAAAACTATATTTAAATAGAAAAGGTGTATATTAAAAACTGTACACAGGAACAATACATAAAAGAAACAGAAACAGACTGGAATGTGACAACTCCCCTGCTTGACTCCTTCTCTTTAGCTATACAAACAATACTAAAGTGACTCACTGACCCAATTTTTTGAAATTATTTTTCTATGCCTGTCTGTGTTTTTTTCTTTCCTGTTTGTATTCCATAAAATGTAAAAATTCAATAAAAAAAAATGTACTAACAGAAATGACACTAAAGATGATTTTGGTTCCACAGTTGAGAAAAAAAAAATGTTTTTGTAAATATTATTACAAAATATAGTAATGCTTGGATGTTGTTAGAAGCGGTGGTCTCACCTTGAGGTAACACTGGTAAGTGTTAAAAATGATGGGCTTCTCTCTGTTGAATTTCCTCTGCATTTCCAGCGCCAAACGACTAATAGCAGGTTGGAAGTACGTCTGCTCCGCGTCCACCATCAGCCTGACCCCGTTCTCCATGGCATGCTGGTGCACAGAGAGTATTTACCGTTACCATGAAACTCATCATTAATGTGCAAGGCAAGACAAGTAAAGTCCCAATTCAGTTCTAATTTAATTGATTTCCTTGAACCAGGTTTACATTTTTGTGTTGCCATGTATAATTATTTATATGTTTTTATATCTTTACCTTTGCTAGAACATCCACTCTCTGCAGCATTCTCTTCATCTGCCTCTCCTCCTCAGCTGTAAACTTTTTCATTAAAGGTTCCAGATGGCCTGTCTGCATAACAAACACAAAACTAGGGATGAGAATTTGAAGGCAAATGTATATTCAAATATCCGACCACCCAAAAAACGGTTAACCGATTAACCGAAATGTACATATCCTAAAAAAAACAACATTTTTACAAAAAATAAATAAATAAATACATGTTCAAATAAGTATAGAAACCAAGTCGAATTTGTCAAATGTATTGAACTGGTGATCACAGGTTGAACAGTTGACAGCTATAGGCCTACAGCTTTCATGCTTAAAACATAACTTGGTTTTCTGATGGATTTGGACATAAACGCGAGTGAAGTATAACCTGACGCGCGAGAGAGAGATCAGCACCTGCAGCTCTGCCCGCTGTGAGGGACCGGTGAGCGGAGCAAAACAAACCTTTAGACCTAACACACTTAGCTATGGCACTGTCGAATACATTGAATTATTCCATTTGATAATATGTAATCAACTTAGGCACCCCACCCAAAAAAAA